TGTTCTCAAAGAGGACCCGGGAGGGATTCAGTTCCCAGCACTCATGTGGTGGCTTATATAGGTCTTTCTAAACTCCAGTTTCAGGAGTTCTGGCACCCTCTTACAGTCTCCGGAGGCACTACGCGCTCATGATGCACAGACACCCATAAAAAAATAGATCCATGTCTAATAAAAAACTCTTTTCAGTAAGAAGTCACAGACAGACAAGCAAAGGGATGTTCCAAAGAAGTGCGAGTACAGACATCTGATAGAGGCTGGTTGTTCATGGGGAAGTGTGCATGCCGTGTAAAACCAAAGGGGCGTTAGAACCAAAGGAGGTTAGAATGATGGTTCCAGGCACAGGCTACAAAATCTTGAGCACAGCCACGGGGGCTAGAAATCACCAGGCACATTTTGGGAACTTCAAACAATTCATCTCTAAATTCACTCATTCATTAAAAACAATCACCATTAATTGAATATTTTGAGTTGAATTTGTTACTAGAAGAAGAAAATAATGGAAAATGGACTAACATACCAAGAGGGGGAAAAAAATGTCCTGAAGGGCATGGCGGGAAGAAATGCCACAGAGGAACAAAGTGACAGGAGCACTAAGGAGGTGAAAGGTCCAGCTTTGGGAACACAGCAGGTGACTGTTGCCGGAGGGCAGAGAGGAGGAGAGAGACACCATCACATTAGTTGAAGGATGAGCCTGCTGCACTCAAGGGGGACAGGAGCTGTAGTGTGGATTCTTTTGTGACCAAAGGCCATGGGGACAGCACAGAGAAGGGAGAGTTTGCAATGGAGCATGTTTTTCAACTCCGAGGCTTGATTCCCAGCCGAGGCACATGGAATATCCAGGGGTCAACCATGACCGTGAAGGTCCAGAGCCCCTGAAACAGGCTGCCTGAGTCTCTTGGGTGAAGGGAGGTGTGAGCCACAGAGAACTGGACTGGGGGCAATAGGTGAGGGTGAGTTCAGATACTGTTTGTTGGATAGGGTGGTGTGGGGGGACCAGTCCCCACATTTATTTACCGCAGGGACTCTTGAGGAATGAGGGATAAGACTTAGCTAGAAATAAAGAGGGGAAAGAAACGCAGATTAGCCTGGATCCTTATCCACCCGCCCGGTCTTTACGCCAAAGGTCTATTTATAACAGTGTCAAGGGGGTGGCGCAAAAGCCCTCCCACTTGCTAGTTACAGTCAAGTGTAGATCCTTACAAACACCTGGTACCCAGGCCCGTGGTTCAATCATCCTCTTAAGCAGTCCTGCCGGGTACAGTCACTGGGAAACCTAGTGGGCTCCAACAGAGTGGCAAGCACAGCTAAGAAATAGTTCACTTTCTTAGTGAAATGGCAGCAGTGGCCTGCGGGAGCATGATAAGGCAGCAGTGATTCAGCTGTGGTCGGATGAGACTGGCCCCAGAGACTGGCGGAAAGTCTCTGAAGTATCTATCAACAGCTAAGGGCACAGCTAACTTGGAGACCAATAATTTTCAACAGCTTTCAAATGAAAGGAAGGTAGTTCTCCCCAAGGCCTCTCACCAGCCCTGCATTCAGGTCTGTAGGCTGGTTATGAAATTAGAACAGGGTAGAAAGTAATGGGAAGAGCGCTGTTTGACCATAACCCTGTGTGCTTCGGAGGCCTCTGGTCTGCGCCTGCAGTTGAGACTGCCAATTACTGTTCTCAAAAGAAGGCAAAAGGTTAAAGAACAGACCACCACCCCAATTCCTCCATTCAAAGGAATAATCAACGTTAATTAAAGCATTCTAAACTAGGAATCTTAGAGTGTACCAGGTTAGGGAGTAAAATTACTGTTTTACTAATATTCATCCTTCGGCTAAATTATAACAGCCCTCAGATTTGAGATATGTCCGTTCTTTCCACTAGAATGAAAAAAGTTAAGGACACACACATCCAGCACTTTATGTATAATAGATAAGATTAGTAGGATTAAGAACCACATGACATGTAAAATAAAACTACACAAATACTTAAATTATTCAGTGTTTGTGCCTATGGCACATCGTGTCATCCTGCTGAGTTAAGGGAACTGAAAGCATCTTTTCATTATTAATGTCTTCATTCCCACGGTTGCCATGCAGGTCCGTACGCAGATCAGTTTCTCCTCTAAACCTAGACAAAAAGAGAAAAATGTCTTGCTGATAGCGAGACTTGGAAAAGAACTTTTCTTGGGGGGAAATTCCGCGAAGTTGCTTTAAGATGTTGTTTTGAAATTGCTGTTGGTCTTTTTAACTGGTTTAATGAGAAGAGTGTTTTTCTTCTAAAAGTTAAGATGTGCCCTTTTGTTATTCAAAAGAGAACAACAAGCAGTTGTGTTGTTTTTTTTTTTCAAGTGGCTATTGCATCATAGAATATTACAAAGCAACAAAAATACCAATTACCCAGATAGAGGAGTAGCTGTATCACTCCCCTGCTCTGAGGCCATTTCTTTTCCTGTGAAGTCTTTGCTCACGGAGGTAGCTTTCTTTGTAGAATTTCACAGCAGGCAGACATGCCTGCAGCATTGTAGTGAATTAGTTCTATTCCTGTGTTACAACAACATTATCGCCATGTCAAGTGAAAAGTATAAAAGGGAAACTATTTCCTAAGTCGAAAAGTGACTTCCAAGAGATGTCATCTGACCCAGGAGGTCATTACTGAGATTTTAATACTGGATTACAAAGAGAACTCATTGGTGCTCAGATGTCAGAAACATTTCTGGCCAATTGTAAAGGAAGCCAGAATTTACTTTGTTACTGTAAGAATTCAAGACGGCTGAAGGACTGTGTCAAAAAAGCTTAAGACTCCTTTATGTGTCAGCTGGGAAATACAAAATAACAGCCCCCTGGCTTTAAGGAGGGCTTCGCATTCTGAAAAAAACGAAAACAAAAGCAAAACAAAACAAAAAACCAAACCTCACTTTTTTGTAACATTTTATTTGTGTGTGTGTGTGTGTGTGTGTGTGTGTGTGTGTGTGTGTGTGTGTGTGTGTGTGAGAGAGAGAGAGAGAGAGAGAGATGAGGGGAGAAGGCATGCCTGTCACAGCTCGTGTTTGGAGGTCAGAGGACAGCTGATGGGAGTTGTTTCTGTCCCTCCTCTACCCATGGCCCTGAGATTGAGTCAGGTCACCAGCTTGCTGGTGACCTCCTAGACCCTATGGACCTTCTCTCTGAACCACAATTCTGATTTATTTATTTTTGAAAATAACTTTTTGAGAGACAATATCCAATCAGCCCTTCAGTGTGACCAAATTCATTGTCAACTAACAATACAGAAAAAAGACAAGTTGCCTCTCTTTATTACACTGGGGTTATGTGTGTTTTAAGAGACAGCTGTATTCCGAAGAGAAAGGATAAGCCACATTACTCTGAGAGTTTCCCTTCAACAGTTCTCTGAGGAGTGTGTGAAACCATTTGGGTATTGTTCCTTCATGATTTGAACAGATCATGTTCCTTTGGCCCATTTCCCAGATAATGCTTAGGAACTATGTATTTTGAAACACACGTGTGCATATTTATATGTATATATTATATTTACTGAACTTTTTAAGATTTGTTTATGTGTATGGGTGTTTTGCTTGCATGTATGTATGTATGTGTACCATGTGCACGCCTGGTACCAATGGAGGTCAGAAGGCATCAGATTCCCTAGAATGAGTTATGGATTGTTGGGGGCCACTATGTGAGTGTTGGGAACCAAATTGGGTCCTCTGTAAGACCAACAAGTGCTCTTAACCACACACACACACACACACACACACACACACACACACACACACACATATATATATATAAAAAACCACATATAACCATTTCTCCAGGCCCCTATATATGTTGGTTTGTGTGATAGACTCTCACTGTGTAGCCCAGGCTGACTCAAGCTCATGATTCTCTCCCCCAGATTTCAGAACACTGGCCTGATAAATGTATATCTTCAAACAATGTATCCATATATTTGAAAATATGATTGTCGTGATGACTGTATTGCTTTTTCGAGGCAGGGTCTCTCCATGTGGCCCAGGCTCAGCTTGAACTTGCTGTGTAGCAAAGGCTGGCTTTGAACTTGCAACATTCCTACCTCAGCCTCTCAAACGCTAGGATTGGACGTGTATGCTACTAGGCCTGGGTTTGGAAATTTTTATTTTTGTGTTTTTTTGAAGAGGAGAGATGGGATTATGTCACACTCACGTATCTTACTTCCCTTTCCTGTAAGTTATCAGGAGGGGATATGCCTTTGTGTTTGAGATAGAGTCTCATGAGGTAGTCCTGTCTAGCCTGGAACTCCATGTATAGACTAAGTTGGCCTTGAACTTGTGGCAATTCCCCTGCTTCTATCTTTTGAGTCCTGAGGTTACTGGTGTGGCTCACTAGCTTGGCTTTAGGAAACCTTTCCATGTACACGCCTATGGCAACTCAAATGCCCTGTCCTAGTGAGGGTTTCTATTGCTGCAATGAAACACTATGACCAAAAGCGAGTTCAGGAGGAAAGGAATTATTCAGCTTACACATCCACAGTGTAGTCCATCATTGAAGGAAGTCAGGACAGGAACTCAAACAAGGTAAGAACCTGGAGGCAGGTGCTGATGCAGAGGCCATGGAGGGGTGCTGCTTACTGGCCTCCTCACCCTGCTTTCTTATTAGATTCCAGGACCACCAGCCCAGGGATGGCACCATCCACAATGGGCTGGGCCCTCCCACATCAATCACTAATTAAGAAAATGCCTTACAGCTTGATTTTTTTTCCAAGACATGGTTTCTCTGTGTGGCCCTGGCTGTCCTGGAACTCACTCTGTAGACCAGGCTGGCCTTGAACTCACAGAGATCCACCTGCCTCTGCCTCCCTACTGTCCGGCTGTTGGAGCCCACCGAGGTTTCCTAGTGGCTTTACCCAGCAGGTCTGCATAAGAGTATGATTGGGTCATGGGCCTGGGTAGCAGGTGTTTGGAAGGGTCTACACTTGGTTATATCTAGCAGGGGGAGGTTCCCCCCCCCCCCCCCCCCCCCCCCCCCCCCCCCCCCCCCCCCGCCCCTTGGCATTGCTATAAAAAGTCCTTTTGAATAAAGTTTTGGGCTGGTGGGTTTTGACCTAGGCCCTCTCAAGGCTATCCTATGTTTCTGTCTTTCCTCTCATCACCTAGGTATCTCTTTTTATCTAAATATTTCCTACTTCTCCCTGCTCAAGAGTGCCCTGGTTGTAAAAGTGGGGGATGATCCCCCACATCTGGCACAACTGACCCCTTCTCAACTTGACATACAAAATACATCACTATTAAGCCACACCTTTGCTTACTTATTCATCTTCAAGATCTCACATAAAAAATATAAATAACTTTAAAAGTCCCAAAGTCTTTACAAATTCAAACACATTAGAATTTCAGTCCCTTAAAAAATATCCAATCTATTTTATAATCCAAGTTTTCTGTAAAACTCCAAAATCTTTTTTTTTTTTTAAGTTTAAAGTCTCTCAACTGTGGGCTCCTGTAAAATCAAAAATAAGCTAAGTACTTTATTGCTTCAAAGAGGGAAGAAGTAGGGCACAGTCACAGTCTGAACTGTGCAAAACCCAAATTCCCAACAGTGTAAACAACACAATGTCCAATGTCTGGGGCCCTCAGTATCTTTGCTCCTCTAAAGGACTTGGATCATTTTCCCGGCTCTGTCCTCTGCAACACACACAGCTTGTCTTCTAGGCTCCAAATGGCTTCGCTCCACAGCTATTGCTGTTCTTGGTGGTCATCTCCAAAATGCTGGGGTCTTCCACTGAAGCTAGGCTGCATTTTCACCAAGAGCTTCTCCCTAGGCTCTCCTCATGGTGCCAAGGTGCAAAGTCTCTGCAGGACCCTCCAACCCTGGGTCTTCAACTGCTACTGTGGCTGCACCTTCACCAATGGCCTCTCACAGTGCCGAGCCTCAGCTGTTCTCCATGACCCCTTCATGCCTTCAAAACCATTCAGTTGTCATTACAACCTTGGCCCCCTCTAAAACACTGCTTCTGTGTGCTCTCAAGGAAACACTCCCCAGAAGGTTTTACCTCAATGATACTGGTCTCTTAATCACTGATAATTTCTCAGCTCCAGGTGACCAGAACGGCATATTTTAGCCAAGCAAACGTTTTCACTTTAGTAGTTCTGGTATCTTGTTAATCACAGCTGATTCTTCAGCCCCAGCTCACGAGAACCACAAATTCTTAATTCCAATGGCCTGGTAGGGTCTTTGCTTCCTTCTGAAACTTCACAAGCCAGGCCTTCACCATCTGCACTGCTCTCAACATTCTTATCTCTCAAGCATCTACAGAAGAGTTCACTGCGCTCTCAAGACTCAAGGACATTTTTAGTCTAAAGTTCCAAAGTCCTCCCTCCCACAATCCTCCCCAAGACAACATGGTCAGGTCTGTCACAGCAATACCCCACCATCCAGGCACAAACTTGTCTTAGGGTTTCTATTGCTGTGCTCAAACACCATGACTATGGCGGTTTGAAAGAAAATGGCCCCCAAAGGGAGTGGCACTAAAATGGAAGATGTGGCCTTGTTGGAGAAGTGTGTCACTGTGGAGGTAAGCTTTGAGGTCTCATATATGCCAACATCTTCTGTCATAGAAGCCTATCCCTGAAAACATTAATCGTGGGCACACCTGACTAGCTCTATAAACCAGTTTAAATAAATAAAACTATTTTAATACATTTTATTTTTTTAAAAATATATATGGGTGTTTTGCCTGTATGTACGCTTGTCTGTGCACCATGTGCATTCCTGAAGTCCTTGGAGGCCGGAAGAGCTTGTAGCATCCCTTGGACCTGTAATTACAGACTGTTGTGAACTGCCATATGGGTGCTGGGAATCTAACCCTAGCAGCACGTGTTCCTACCAGCTAACTCATCTCGCCAGCCCCTACAAACAACTTAAAGCAAAAACAAAACAAATAACTTGATTAGTATGCATGTGAGTTATTTACACGACCTTTGTGCCTCAGAGCTCAGCTAGGCAGCAAACTACCAGCTGTGGACTACAGCAGACAGAGGTAAGCCACATGCTCAAATGCATGCTGAGGTGAGGCTCTAGTCTTCTACACCTGCTTAGTATGCATGTCACACGAGAGAGAGGATCCCGTGAACTCTTTCTCGGTGCTTCTCAACCTAACACAATTACAATCACAAATCAGTAATGTGCTGCTTAGCCGCCACCATCTCTGTCACTCTCCCCCAGGTGTGCCCGTAGCAGTCCAGCACCTGTTAGTCATTTATGCCTCCAGTTTTCGGGATGGAGGAAGAGGGCGAAAGGGACTTTGGAAGTCCCAACGGGATAACGAAGTTCTTTCCCATTGCAAAACGCTATCTTCACAGCTCAATGCTTTAAATTCCCTCTTTTTCGCCGTCCAGTCGGGGACTTGCTACCTCTGCAGCGGCTGCTCCCTGCCCCACGCGCCAGGTCAGAGCAAAAGTTGTAGCCGTGCCGCTGCGAAAAGATGGGCTGTCGATAGCCTTGGCCCACAAGCCGCCGCAGCACTCCCAGAGGCCAGCCCAGCCCAAACCCTGCCCTGCCCTGCCCTGGAGGCTGCCCGGCGACTTCCGGGGCCAAGTACCCTAGGCTAGCGCCACACCCCCCGCGGCGCGCGGCCTCCCGGAAGCCCTCCGGAGACACCTCGGGCCCCGCCCCTGCACAGGTCACCTCCCTCCACGCCCCTTTTTCTGGCCCGGCAGCCGGCAGGCAGAGAAGTGTCGTAAAGCCTGGCCCAGGAAACTTTACCCGGGGTAACAGGCGAGGCGCTTTACGGCGGCGGCGGCCGGGTGAGAGGCTCGGCGGCGGCGGCGGCGGCGGCGGCGGCGGCGGCGGCGGCGGCGGCGGCGGAGCGGCCGCAGCGGCAAAGGCGGCTGCGGCGGTGGCTGAGGGAGAGGAGCGGCGGCAACGGCGGCGGGGAGCGGCGCGGGGTGAGCCGCGAGGAGGGGCGGGTGGGAGGCGGTGACACGGCCGGCGGCGGGGCTCGGGCGGCCAGGGGACGGTGGCCGGCACGGCGGCGCGGCGGCGTGGGGGCGGCGCGGCGTTGGGGACACTCGGTGAGGGACGGTTTCTGCCTTTGTTCCCCCCCGCCTCGGCCGCCCCCGGCCCGCCAGTCCGCGCTGCCTGGCGCCGCTCGGCCGCCTCTCATGGCCTCCTCTCTCGGCTGTGTCGCTTCTAGGATGGCGGAGGTACCGCCTGGGCCTAGCAGCCTCCTCCCACCACCAGCGCCTGCGGCCCCAGCGGCGGCCGAGCCCCGCTGTCCGTTCCCGGCGGGGGCTGCCCTCGCTTGCTGCAGCGAGGACGAGGAGGACGACGAGGAGCACGAAGGCGGCTGCGGGAGCCCAGGGGGCGGCGAGGCGGCGACCCCGGCCAAGGCGCGTTCTTGCCTTCGCTGCCCGCAGCTGCCTCAGGAGCAGCAGCAGCAGCAGCAGCAGCAGCAGCAGCTCAACGGATTGATCGGCCCAGAACTGCGACACCTCCGGGCCGCGGCGACCCTCAAGAGTAAGGTTCTGAGTGCAGCGGAGGCGGCCGCCCCCGACGGGGCCCCCAAAGTGACTGCCACAAAAGGAGCCGGAGAACACCGGGAGGAGAGACCAACCCACTCGGTCCCCAACAATGCAAGAACTGCGCTCTCCGGCCGGCCAGAGGCGGCGGCGGCGGCAGCGGCAGCGGCGGCCAGCGACCCCGCGGCGGCGGCCAGCGACCCCGCGGCGGCTCGCAACGGACTGGTGGAGGGCAACGAGCCGGAGGAGGAGGAGGAGGAGGACGAGCAGGTGCGGCTGCTGTCTTCGTCCCTGACCGCCGGCTGCAGTATAAGGAGCTCCCTGGGCCGGGAGGCCGAGCCCGGGGAGGATCGGACGATACGATACGTCCGATATGAATCCGAGCTCCAAATGCCTGATATCATGAGACTGATCACCAAAGATCTGTCTGAACCCTACTCCATTTATACGTATAGATATTTTATCCACAACTGGCCACAGCTGTGTTTCTTGGTAAGTGGATGGCATGAGAACAGGGTGAGCCCAGCAGAGATCTTGGCCACTCAGGGCAGGGAGTGTGAGGGCCCAGTGTGTGGCAGTGGTTGTCTCTTTCATTTTCGTAGTAGTACCTTACAGATGTGACTGGCTAAAGTGTGTGCGGGCACATTCCTAGTTATTAAATGGAACTGTGTGGAAGGTAAGAGCTCATGATCTGGGTTAACTTGTTACTGTTGTAACAGCAGCAAGCCTGCGCAAAGCGTGTTTCACCTGGGGTGTGGGGGGAGGAGGTGTCTTACGTCCTGTTTACATTAGCTTCTAATCATGGTTAGTCTTCATTATTACCCTCCCTCATCCTCAGAGCATTTTGTAGTGATTTAATTGGAACATGGTGCTGTTCACATACAGGCCTTTGTAATAACTCAGCTACAGCCATAGTCAGGGAAGAATATATGCAGTAAACATGGTTGCCAGTAAACTTGCTGTGGCCACTTTGGAGAATGAAATCTCAGAGCCGTGTTCACTGATTATGGATGTTGTTCCCTTCGGTAGGACAAGAGTTGTAGCCAGCCTGCTTTCAGGTGTGCCATTGCAGAATGTGTCCCTAACACCTTTGGTGCCTGAAAGGCCCCTGAAACTTGGAACAGAAAGTCCTTTCGCGGGATGCAGGATTTAGTGTGAGAAACTACTTAAAAACTGGTACCATTGGTTTGTACGGGTATAGTGGACAGAAGTTTTTTTTTTTTTTCTACCTATATAAAAGCCAAACAGATTGGTCTATTGGATAAGATGAATAACCATTTTAAGTTTACATTCCCAGCACCAGTAATCTCTCAACAGTAACATTGACCCACTTTCTGTCCATGTGAAATCCTTAACTGAGACATTGTTAGACTTGAGGTGTAAGCTGTATGTCATGAGCACAGCACATACTTTGAAGAGAGTAAAGCTCCTCCTGTTCTTGTGTTAACCCCGACTTAGTTGCACTCAGTGTTCCTTGCAGTATGTTTTGACAAGACATCAAAAGTCTTGTGGTTGCTTCCACAGCGTGGTGGTAATCCAGAAATACTATTAGATATTGTAGATATTGATAGTTTTGCTAGCTTTCATGTTAATTATGCTTGAACTTTATTTTAGACCATTTGTTTAAACTTTAGGTACTATTTTGTATTCCAGAAAACGTGTTTGTTTTTTTTTTTTCTCTTAAGGAGTCTTAGCATTGTATTAAAATAGTTCTGCTGGACTTGGTGGCTCATGCCTTTAATCCCAGCAATTGGGAGGCAGAAGCAGGAGGATCTCTGAGTTCAAGGCCAGCTTGGTCTACACAGCAAGTTCCAGGACAGCCAGGACTGTGTAGAGAGACCCTATCTCAAAAAACAAAGACAAAAGTTCTAAGACATATTAGTAGCAGTGAATATGGGACAGTACTTACAACACTATTATAAATGTCATTAAATGCAATTCCTTAGAATTGTGTATTGATTTAATTGTAAGTTAATCCACAGAGTGTATAATGGAGTCCCATTTGAAACTGAAATGGAGCTGGGGATGTGGTTCAGTGGTAGTGGGCTTGAGTCGTGTTTTCTCTAGACCTCAGTTTTTCTGGCATTTTATACTATGGTAAAACTTCAGGCTTTTATGTACACCCCTCTTAATTGACCAGTTGAATTGTACTTTAGCCTTTACTAGCCAAAGTTTAACATTAAGTTATGAATATCTAGAAGTTGAAATGTATACAAGTGGCTGGCCTCTAAGGTTTCTCATGGAATATGAATCTGGAGATAGCAAACAATAAAACTAGTTACACAACAGAGGCAGTTTACAAATAGATCTTTTATATGGTTTTCAAATTGAATTTCCCATAAGAACTAATTTTTATAAACAATATCTTTCAAATTATGTCAGAAAGGACAACCTTAGAGATAATCTAGACCCACCTCCTTTTCTTTTTTTAAAGGGAATAAAAAATCATGGTGATGTATAATGTTTAAATCTTGAGCTGTTTAGGAGCAGAGAGGTCTTTACCTCTCTGATCTCCTGGCCTCTCATGATGGCAAGTAAGATGAGGAACCTTATTATTATGGCACATAATTGTCGTCACCAAGGGGCAGTTGTCATTTTAAGCATCAATCTTGGGATTAGAACCTCCAAAGTGTCCCTAGGTTCCAGGGAGAACGTGTAGTAGACCAAAATGGATATGTGAGGTTGAACCTTAAAATTGCCTATATTTGTTTGACTCATAAAACAAGGTTTTAAAGATTCTTCCTAATATTTGTAACACTTTGAAAAATAGAAGCTAGTACAAATGAGTCACTGTCAGTTACCATAAACTTTACCCCTTTATGGTTCACAGTATTTTCAGTTTCAGTGTTTTCAGAAGTTCTTAAATTTATGACTAGCTATGCAATGTAGTATTTCCATTTATTTGCTCTAAATTTAACTTTCTTGTGTCCTCCAGTGTTCTCTTTGTAATGTTCTGGAATTCGGGAATCTGTATTTTGCACATACACATTTTTCATAGTTGTATAGACTTGACAGGCTTTTAAAAAGCCTTGAGAAGTTGAACAGATTTACCACTTCCTATACTTCAGAAACACATTTAATAATATGCTTCAAAAGTGTGTGCAGCAGCTTTTGTTTGGAAAAAAAAAACAACAAGTAATTTAGTGATTGTTACAAATGTTGATAAGCAATTTATTAGGATTGCGGTATTGATTTTTATAATGAGCAAGTTATATATCCATATATCAGATTTTTGTTTTTAGATGGTGTGTACAACTTGATTTATGCTTCTCTACATTTTTTAATTAGGGAAACAATGTAGTAGTCTCAAGAATAAACTAACATAATATTTTGTTTGCTTTTTACTTACATGGACAGAAAACAAGTATTTGTTTGACATCCCAGTGCAATTTGAAAGTATTGTCTAGTTATATTTAGTGGCTTTAATTTTTCTTATTGAATGGCTTTATTAACTGTAGGATATTGCTGTCCTATGGTTTTATGTAAGATTTACATGTATTTCCATTTCACATGAGCCTAGCTTACTAGGTCAGGGCAAATTTTTTTTCTGGCTGTTACAAGTATATGATTTGTTCTTTGATAATTATGTATATGTGTACACATGTGCATATATATACATATATATTAAACACACATACATATGCATATATATATATTACTATATATATGTATACTGACAATCCAAATCAGAAAATGCTATTAGTTGGGCCGGGCATGTAGCTCAGTGATAGAATACATGCATGTTACTGGGTTCAGTCCTCAGCACTAAAAAGGTTGTGAAAGTTGTTCATTTAGATGACTTTTATCTCTGTTTCAGGTCTTAATACAAAAAGAAATTAAATTGATTTGTTGGGCATTAAATTGAATGAGAAAACAAAATGGAAATAGTAATTTTAAGGTTTTGTTGACCCAGAAGAATTACGGAATATGTGATACAATGGGAATAAACTATTATTAGTTATTGACTTTAATATTCCCTTCAAGGATTTTCTAAATGAAGTAAAATTATGTTGGTTAGAGATTTCTCCAGAGTTTATTGAAAAGGGAATTTTAGGAAATTTATTAAATAATTGACCACAAAATGTTTGTAACAAATTCAAGTTAAA